CTGTTTGGCATTTTCTTCCAGAACAGGCCTTATCACACTGTGTATGTTACTACGATTCTTAAATCTCTCAAACCAACCTTTGCTGGCTTTAAATTCACCAATATGAGCACTAGTTCCAGGCTTTTTTTCCCTGTTCACCTGGTGTTAGTCACTGTGTGGGTTGCATCCTGGAGACAAGATTAAGGACCCCAATGAAATAATTAGACAGTCTTCGATGACACTGACTTTTTTGGGTTATCCTGGTGGAAAATCCTCTGGGGTTAATTGTTTTTTGGTATATCCAATAAGCCACCCCAAAACAACAGTGCTACAGCAGCAGTAGACGATGCTACAGCAGCAGCAACGATGCTACAGCAGCAGCAGACGATGCTACAGCAGCAGCAGACGATGCTACAGCAGCAGCAGACGATGCTACAGCAGCAGCAGATGATGCTACACAGCAGCAGCAGCAGCAGCACCCTGACAGTGCTACAGCACAGCAGACGATGCAACAGCAGCAGCAGAACGATGCTACAGCAGAAAGCAGCAGCTGTACCACCAATAGTAGCAAGGGTTTGATTGGGGTTCTTTAAATACAACCGGGCCAGCTCGGAGACACGCACTCCACTTTCATACTTATCAATGATCTTTTTCTTCATCTCTATAGTAATTCTCACCCTTATTGCTGTAGGGTTGGCACAGAAGCTTTCTTGGGGCCCATGGTCACTTATTTTCCAGATAAAATCACCAAAAACACTGTAATAATACGAAATGTTACGATTGTATGCTTGGATGCTACCGCGGAGGCTGGCTGGTAAACAATGCCACCGGCGGAACATGTGAGGCTGGCTAAGGTGCACATTGGACGCGTCTCGGACGAACAGCGGTGAGCGGGTTTTTGAGCGGTATGCGAGGCAAAATTTTTGCAATTAAAGTGAGCGGTATGCGGAATAAACGGTATGTGATGCCAACGGTATGCGGGGGTCCACTGTATGTTTCACTGTAAACACTTGGTCTACACACCCCCTACCTTTCCTAAAGCCTCCTTGTTCATCTGCTATCCTACACTCCGTCTTACTCTTAATTCTTCAGTAATAACTACCATACACTATCAGGTATACTCAACAGACTTATTCCCCTATAATTTTTTCACTCTCTTTTATCCCCTTTGCCTTTATACAAAGGAACTATGCATGCTCTCTGCCAATCCCTACCAACCACTCCAAGACTAGATCCCCACCTGCTTTTAACATTTCTATCTTTATCCCATCAATCCCAGCTGCCTTACCCCCTTTCATTCTACCCACTGCCTCACAAACGTCCCCCACACTCACAACTGGCTCTTCCTCACTCCTAGAAGTTATTATTCCTCCTTGCCCTATACACGAAATCACAGCTTCCCTATCTTCATCAACATTTAACAATTCCTTAAAATATTTCCTCCATCTTCCCAATACCTCTAACTCTCCATTTAATAACTCTCTTCTCCTATTGTTAACTGTCAAATCCATTTGTTCCCTAGGCTTCAACTTATTAATCTCACTCCAAAACTTTTTCTTATTTTCAACAAAATTTGTTGATAACATCTCATCCACTCTTTCATTTGCTCTCTTTTTACATTGCTTCACCACTCTCTTAACCTCTCTTTTTCTCTCCACATACTCTTCCCTCTTTGCATCACTTCTACTTTGTAAAAACCTCTCATATGCTAACTTTTTCTCCCTCTTTACATCATCATTCCACCAGTCGCTCTTCTTCCCTCCCACACCCACTTTCCTGAAACCACAGACTTCTGCTGAACACTCTAACACTACATTCTTAACCCTTTCAGGGTTTTGGACGTACTAGTACGGCTTACGCACCAGGGTTTTTGATGCACTAGTACGCCTAAATTCTAGCGCCCTCAAATCTAATGAGAGAAAGCTGGTAGGCCTACATACGAAAGAATGGGTCTATATGGTCAGTGTGCACAGTATAAAAAAATCTTGCAGCACACAGTGCGTAATGAGAAAGAAAACTTTGACCATGTTTTTGGATTAAAACAGCAACTTTGCACTGTATTTTCGTATGGCATTTATTGTTGTATTCTAGTTTTCCTGGTCTCATTTTATAGAATGGAAGACATATTACAGAAATTGAGATGATTTTGACTGGTTTTACAATGAAAAGTACCTTGAAATTGAGCTCAAGTAGCAGAAATGTTCGATTTTTACCAAAGTTCAAAAGTAAACAAATCATGCTAAGCGTCCAATACACATCAACTGGTGAGTCTAATATTCTTTCACAAGTCCGCCGTTATTATTTATCCCATTTCTACACTAATTCAGTAGTCTGCATAACAGTAAATCTTCTATTTTTTTGTGAGAATAAAAATTCAAAGTGGAAAGCAAAAGAATGTAAGAGGGGCGTGGAGACGTGACTAATGAACAGAATGCCAGGAATGTTTTTTTTTTTTTATTCTGGACCCTATTTGGAAATTGGCATCTTTTGAAATTTGTGTGAAATTGGCAAAATTGCTAAATTCTGACCACTGCATTGGATAGTTGAAATCGGTAAATGGGTGGTTTCTTGTACTCATTCGATAGAAAAAATGGAGTTCTAGCGAAATAGTTATGATTTTTGTAGACTAGCACACTGGAATTGGCTGAAAATAGGGCTCAAAGTGGGCAAAACCGCCGATGCGTAAACATCGTCGAGACTGCTAACTTCGCGAGAGCATAATTCCGTAAGTTTTCCATCAAATTTCAAATTTTTGGTGTCATTATGATCGGGAAAAGATTCTCTATCTTTTCATAAGAAAAAATATTTTTTTTTTTTTTTTGAAATTTGGGTGACCCTAAGAACAAGTCTGGGAGAGGGCCTGGGGACCCGGAAAGGGTTAAATCTACCCCATACATCTTCGACCTCATTGCCTATATTCTCGCTAGCTCATCTATCCTCCAGTAGTTATTTATATCTTACCCTAACTGCCTCCTCTTTTAGTTTATACACCTTCACCTCTCTCTTACTTGCTGCTTCTATTTTCCTTGTATCCCATCTACCTTTTACTCTCACTGTAGCTACAACTAGAAAGTGATCTGATGTATCTGTGGCCCCTCTATAAACATGTACATCCTGAAGTCTACTCAACAGTCTTATCTACCAATACATAGTCCAACAAACTAACGTCATTATGTCCTACATCACATCTTGTATACTTATTTATCCTTTTTTTTCTTAAAAAATGTATTACCTGTAACTAAACCCCTTTCTATACAAAGTTCAATCAAAGGGCTCCCATTATTATTTATACCTGGCACCCCAAACTTACCTACCACACCCTTTCTAAATGTTTCTCCTACTTCAGCATTTAGGTCCCCTACCACAATTACTCTCTCACTTGGTTCAAAGGTTCCTATACATTTGCTTAACATCTCCCAGAATCTCTCTCTCTCTCTCTCTCCTTTACACTCCTCTCTTCTCCAGGTGCATATATGCTTATTATGACCCACTTTTCACATCCGACCCTTATTTTAATCCACATAATCCTTGAATTTACATATTTATATTCCCTCTTCTCCTTCCATAACTGGTACTTCAACATTATTGCTACCCCTTCCTTAGCTCTAACTCTCTCAGATACTCCTGACTTAATCCCATTTATTTCTCCCCAACAAAACTTGCCTACCCCCTTCATCTTTATTTCGCTTAGGGCCAGGACATCTAACTTCTTTTCATTCATAACATCTGTACTACATCCATGCACATTCAAGCATCCCAGTTTTATAAAGTTTTTATTCTCATTTTTAGTACATGTGTACAGGAGAAGGAGTTACTAGCCCATTACTCCCGGCATTTTAGTCACCTCATACGACACGCATGGCTTACGGAGGAAAGATTCTTTTCCACTTCCCATGGCCAATAGAGAGGGAAAAAAAACAAGAACAAGGGCTATTAAGAAAAAGAAGAAAAACCCTAGATGTCTGTATGTATATATTATTATTATTATTATTATTATTATTATGCAGTAGCAGTAGGAGAGCTGTTCGATTCTTTGCCGTGTTCAAGAGTAAACAAATGATGTCACTATCCAATACCTGTCCGAATGGCCATTCCAATATGCAGTCATGAATGGGTTGACATTATTTATACTGTAGTTTAATAGCAAATAATGAACAAACAAAACACTCGCTACACTGAGTGGCGGGAGGGCTGGCTGCCAGTTGCAGGGGTCGGAGGGAGGGTAGTAGTGACGCGCAGGCGGCGGGAAATTTAAATATAAGTTTGGCGGCTGGGAATTCCCAAATGTGTGAAGCCCGCGAAAGTTGAAAACGCGAATGTTGAGGGAGACCTGTAGTGCAACAGTGATGGAGGTGGCAATAAAAAAGTACATAGTAGTGGCAGTAAAAAAAAGGGCAAAGAGTGGAGTGTTAGTGATGAAATAATAGTGGTAGAAATAATAGTTGAAGTCTTTAGGAACAAGAGAACAGAGGAACCCTGCAGGATAAGTAATGGCCCACAAGGGTAGGACAAAATCTCAATGAGACAAAACCCTCATAGGACAGAACCCAACAAGGAAGAAGACAGGGAAGCCAATGAAAATATAGGAAAGGTGAAGGGGTAAAGGAGATAAAGATAAGGTCAATTCATAAATTAAAGCATCCCTTATATACACCATTCCTAATATGAATCTTAGTCCTGACTGTAGATGCCTTCCTTTCTCATTACATTGTCAGATGCTTCAAACTTCAGAATGGAAAAATTATTGAATATGTGGATTGAGGAAAACACAAAGAAAATTGCCTTACTTAATTACTCAGATAATAAAGTGTATAATTAACTTTATGACAGTTTTCTGGTCATTGTAGAGTGCTACAGGGTTAAACAAACACTAGAGCATTGGGTAAAAACCACTAATACTGACAACTGTGCATACACAACACAAGCACTATTTAGGTGTCATTATTTTATGAAATATTAATTTAGAGAAATAATATCAGATTATAAAGCATTCAGTTAATGTGTACATTTTACTTCGGCAGAAATGTTTCCGGTGGGCCCACGGTCAATTGGGATATCCCTGGGTGGTACCAGCAACTGGTTTGGTAACCTCGTTGTGGGCCTCACCTTCCCACTGATTCAAGAGAGCCTCGGAGAATTGTCATTCTCCATATTAATTGCTTCCTCTTTCCTACTATTTATTTTTATATACAAGTAAGTTTTCAGAAAAATTTGCATGAGCATTTCAGGCAGACTAATCCTAATGCTTATTAGTTTGTTTTTTTTTTTTTTTTTTTTTTTTTTTACATTTCTTAGAATTCCCTTTTAATTGCATTCAGTAAGAAAACGTTTAAAAATTTGGGATAGGTTTCTTCCGTGGTTTAGTGCTTCATTTTAAAATAGATATTATTTCCTCCGGGTAGCTTTTAATTTGAATAGGTAGTTGAAGGAAGAGAAAAATTTATCTCTTTGGAACTTCAAAGTTCTGGACTGCCAAAAACCTGTACAAAAAAACCCAAATACTGTAGAAAACATGAACGTTTGATAACTGGAGTCTTAAAAAGCTTTATCCAAAAAATTTAAAAAAAAAATGTCCCCAAAGGGCTCAACTTACATTTAATGGGATGTCTGTTAAAAAGCCATGAAGTGGAAGCCTCTGTATCGTTTGGCTGCCCCGGTCTGGGGTATGGTTGATAAAAATGGAAACCAAATTTTGCTCAAACCAAGTTTTTACGGGCCAGGCTTAACCTATCCATTTTCATTTGAGGGGGAACTGCCTACCCTGCCTTCTTTTTATTGTCTTGTGCATGCTCACATACTATAACCTCTTGGGGGGAATAAAAAAAATGAAGAAAATAAGTATTTCTCCCATTATTTAAATTATATTGCAAGTCATTTTAAAGATGCCATTTGCTATATTAACATTAACTGGGGGGAGAGTATGGATGTGCGTATGGATTTGGGGGTGGAGCTGTCTCATGGCACAAGTGGAGGGCCCCGGGCTCCACCTGAAGGGCCCAAGTTTGCCCCAAACAAGTGGGCTTTTCCTTTTCACAGCTACCCTTTCATCTAGCAATAAGTAGGTACTTAATTCCCCCCCATCAACTACCTCAGGACACTTTAAAAAAAAACACTACCTACCCCCAAACCCAAACCCCAAAAGAACTCGTCTCTCAAACCCCTTAAAAAGAAGGGAGAAACAAAATAATTACTACCTTTTAGACAAAAAACTTCACAAGTACGTCACCAATTATTGCGACACCTTTAATAAATCCATCGAATCCCCCCCTTCCCCCCAAATTTTCGAATGCGAGGGTCCCCCCGATCCACAAAGGAGGTGATAAGCAGATTTAATAACTTAGACCCAAAATTTTAACTTACCTCTGCTCTCTAAAACTTTGAAAAAAATTTAAATTTTAGACAGATCTATTCCTACCTCATCTCACACAACATACTAAACCCGTCAGTTTGGATTCGGGACTAATAAAAGCACAAATGATGCTATTATACACATGCTAGAACTAATACACAACACTCTCGTGAAGAAAGAAGTCCCGCTGGGAATCTTCATTGATTTACGTGAAGCTTTTGATACAGTTGACAATGATTTGCTGCACATTGAATTAACACACTATGGTATAAGAAGGCACTCCTTCAACTACCTAAAGTCGTACCTTAGTAACAGAAGCCAATATGTGTACACAAATGGAGCAAACTCTTCCACTCAACCAATCACAGTTGGTGTCCCACAAGGAAGTGTCCTTGGCCCACTCCTCTTTCTCATTTACATCAATGACCTATCGAATGCATCACAACTACTCAAACCCTTATTATTTGCAGATGACACAACATGCGTCTTCTCTCAAGCAAACCCAGCCATACTGGCCAACACTTAATACCGAATTGCAGAAAAGATCTACCTGGATGGGACTTGCACATCAGAGCTTATTTCTTGGGTAGCATTGAAAATTGGGTTGGTCAAATGTTTGTTAGTGGGATGAATTGTAAAGGACCTGCCTAGTATGGGCCAACAGGCCTGTTGCAGTGTTCCTCCTTTCTTATGTTCTTATGACTGATAAGCTTGCCCTCAGTACTGACAAAACCTATTTCATTCAGTTTAGAAACAGAGCTGCAAATGTTCCACTTAACACTAAGCAGATAACACATCACAAGACTCACAGAGGGAAAATTAATAGAAAGCCAACTTGACAGTTGCCTCAAATTCTACATGCATATACAACAAATTTCCAAGAAAATCTCTAAGACAGTAGGCATACTATCAAAGATACAGTACAGTACTATGTTCCACAATCAGCTCTCCTTGCACTGTATCATTCACTCATCTACCCTTATCTCACATATGGAGTATGTGCATGGGGATCAATGACATTAAATCACCTAGGACCACTAATAACCTAGCAAAAGGCTGCAGTCAGAATGATAACAAATTCCCACTCCCGACAGCATACTCCACCAATATTCAAAAGTCTAAAACTACTCACCGTAAAGAACATTCATACTTATTCATGTGCCTACTACATACATAGAACACTACACTCAAACATAAACCCTCCACTCAAACTTCTCCTCACCAACCTTAACAGGACACACGACCATAACACAAGACACAGATATATTTTTTATGTATCCTGAGTTCATATTACACTGTGTAAAAACTCTATGCACATAAAGGGCCCCAAAATTTGGAATTCATTACCAGTAAATAATAAAGTAACTCAGTCTGAACATCAATTTAAGACTTCTCAAAAACCACTTACTCACCATTTAACTTTACCAAAAAATTTCCCAATTACCTAAATCTTAAAACTTCAAAACATGATACCCAAAGTTCATACATTGATTAATACTACATTGTAGTAAAAATACCTACCCAAAACAATACTGCCTTACACCCAATTGTAGCATTCTCATACTGTAAACTACTTTCAACAACTCACAATTTATTTATTTTTTTTTTTTTTAACAAGTCGGCCGTCTCCCACCGAGTCAGGGTGACCCAAAAAGAAAGAAAATCCCCAAAAAGAAAATACTTCCATCATCATTTAACACTTTCACCTCACTCACACATAATCACTGTTTTTGCAGAGGTGCTCAGAACACAACAGTTTAGAAGCATATACGTATAAAGAGACACAACATATCCCTCCAAACGGCTAATATCCCGAAACCCCTCCTTTAGAGTGCAGGCATTGTACTTCCCATTTCCAGGACTTAAGTCTGGCTATATAAAAATAACCGGTTTCCCTGAATCCCTTCACTAAATATTACCCTGCTTACGCTCCAACAGATCGTCAGGTCCCAAATACCATTCGTCTCCATTCACTCCTATTGAACACGCTCATGCACGCCTGCTGAAAGTCCAAGCCCCTCGCCCACAAAACTTCCCTTACCCCTTCCTTCCAACCTTTTTGAGGACAACCCCTACCCCGCCTTCTTTCCCCTACAGATTTAAATGCCTCCATGTCATTCTACTTTACCTTTCCCTTCTAAAATGCCCAAAACCCCCTCAAGAACCCCCTTCCCCCCCTTGACAAACTTTCATTAACTCACACCTTCTCCTAATTTCCACACTCCAAATTTTTGCTAATATTTACACCACACATGGCCTTAGACGGACATCTCCATGCCTCCAACCGCCCCTCGCTGCTGCTTTCACAACCCAAGCTTCAACCCAACCATGAAAAGTTTTTTTTGTCCCCCACAATACCTCAATGCACCACTCCCCTTTTTTTTTCCCTATCATTCTAGAAAAACCTCGCCTTAAAAAATCCATCCGCCGACACGTTAACTCCCAAGAACATATCTGAAAACATTCACTTCTTCCATACTCCTCCTCCCCAATTTGATATCCAATTTTTCTTTATCTAAATCATTTGATACCCTCATCACCTTGCTCTTTTCTATGTTCACTTTCAACTTTCTACCTTTACACACACTCCCAAACTCACAATGTTATATTCCCATAATATAATTTCAATATTTATTATTGAAACTATTGTAATTTGAGTACAATTAATGTCTACTATAAATAGAGAGAGATGTACAACCTAAACAAACTATGATCATTTCATTTAGTATTAAGTAGTCTGTAAGCCATTAAATTAAGTCTGCCCATAATGTCTAGGCATAATAGTGGCTCTTTGCACTGCAACTCATTATTGTATTTTCATATTCTCAATGTAATCTTGCAAAGAAATAAAATTTGCTTGTTTGTTAGATGACTATTCTAGGTCTTATTTTTACCTGGAAGAGCCTGGCCCAAGGCCAGGCTCTGGGAGTATAAAAAAAAAAACTTGGAACTCATCTAAGGTAAGGTATATCGTAAGTGGTGGTGGTGGTGGTGGGGGAGTTACAGTAGATGCTGGTGGTGGTGGATGTAAGCCATGCATGTCCAACTGTTAATTATACTGCCAGAGACGAAGTGATTGTTTACAAGAAGCCTTCACCTCTGTGAATATATTTTAATTACCATTTTCATATGTATTAGTGTTTTTTATATTATAGTTTAGGTTGATTTCAGTCTAAATGATTGTCTGCAATCATTGTGTGAGAGAGAAAGAGAGAGATGCTGTACAAGCATGCTTCGGTATCTTAGTTTTTCTTTGTATGTTTGGTTGTGTCATCAATACGTACAGCAGACCAAGTCAGTTTTATTGGGCATTTGTCCATGTCCCATAGTTGTAGTCTATTTAATCAAAATTTTCAACATGGCAGATTTTTTCACTAAAGCAGACACCCCTTTCCCTTATTAATCCATTTTATCAGACATTTACTGATGTAATGAACTGATAGTTGCAGGTAAAATAATAATTACTTTCATTTTTTTTCTTCAAATTTGTACCCATCAAGAGAGGTATCTTGATGCTTATGAGGGACTTGCTCCAAGGAATTGGAGTAAGCACCAGCCATTCCCAAGGCACTGTACAAGTCTCTAATAGGTAATCCTGGAGCAGTTGCTCTGATAAATAAGATACATGCACTGCAGACTATCATTTGAATAGTCAAGATCTCTGTAGTAGTCTGATGAAATTTACAAAGGAGGGGAAACATTTCATCAATATAGGTGCTGTACTAATTGTTGCATGTCTTACTCATCATCTTGTCAGTATTGGTATGGTTGACAAATAGTCAGCAGAGAGTTTGCGTAAATGGGGAGAAATCAGAATTCTGGCACGTCACAAGCAGTATTCCGCAGGGGTCAGTGTTGGGCCCCTTGTTGTTCACAATCTACATAAACAACATAGATGAGGGAATAAATAGCGACATAAGCAAATTTGCTGATGACACCAAAATAGGCCGTCCAATTCATTCTAATGAGGACATTAGAGTGCTCTAAGATGATTTGAATAGATTGATGCAGTGGTCAGAGAAGTGGCAGATGCAGTTTAATACAGACAAATGCAAAGTTCTAAATGTTAAACAGGAAAATAACCGTGCCACATATAAACTAAATAATGTAGATCTTAATATTACGGATTGCAAAAAGGATTTAGGAGTTCTGGTTAGCAGTAATCTGAAACCAAGACAACAGTGCATAAGTGTTCACAATAAAGGTAACAGAATCCATGGCTTCATAGCAAGAAGTATAAATAATAGAAGTCCTCAGGTTGTTCTTCAACTCTATATATCTTTGGTTAGGCCTCATTTAGATTTGCTGCACAGTTTTGGTGACCATATTACAGAATGGATATAAATGCACTGGAAAACGTACAAAGGAGGATGACGAAGTTGATCCCATTTATCAGAAATCTTCCCCATGAGGATAGACTGAGGGCCCTGAATCTGCACTCTAGAAAGGCATAGAATTAGGGGAGATATGATTGAGGTGTATAAATGGAAAACAGGAATTAATAAAGGGGATGTAAATAGCATGCTAAAAATATCTAACGTAGACAGGACTCACAGCAATGGTTTTAAATTGGAAAAATTCAGGTTCAGGAAGGATATAGGAAAGCACTGGTTTGGTAATAGAGTTGTGGATGAGTGGAACAAACTCCCAAGTACCGTCATAGAAGCTAAGACATTGTGTAGTTTTAAAAATAGGCTGGATAAATGCATGAGAGGGTGTGGGTGGGTGTGAGTTGGACCTGACTAGCTTGTGCTACTAGGTCGGATGCCATGCTCCTCCCTTAAGTGACGTATCTGACCTCACTAGGCATTGGCTTAAGCTGGTGGGAGAATTGGACGTGCCTTGCATAGGCCAGTAGGCCTGTTGCAGTGTTTCTTCTTTCTTATGTATACCATTTATATGATAACAGTTGGTTTGTTACCTGCTAGCAAGAGGCGTGGAGTTAAAAGATAAAGAATCACACAAAGTGGGAGTTGTCACAGTTGCTCTTTGCTGATGACACTGTGCTCTTGGGAGATTCTAAAGAGAAGTTGCAGAGATTGGTGGATGAATTTGGTAGGGTGTGCAAAAGAAGAAAATTAAAAGTGAATACAGGAAAGAGTAAGGTTATGAGGATAAATTATTATTATTATTATTATTATAATCAAAAAGAAGCGCTAAGCCACAAGGGCCATACAGAGTGGTGCACTTAGGAGTCTGTGGAGACAAAGAACTTTGTCCTTGGAGGCAAAGAGGGGAATGTATGAGAGTATAGTTTTTACCAACGCTCTTACATGGGTGTGAAGCATGGGTGATGAATGTTGCAGCGAGGAGAAGGCTGGAGGCAGTGGAGATGTCATGTCTGAGGGCAATGTGTGGTGTGAATATAATGCAGAGAATTCGTAGTTTGGAAGTTAGGAGGAGGTGCGGGATTACCAAAACTGTTGTCCAGAGGGCTGAGGAAGGGTTGTTGAGGTGGTTCAGACATGTAGAGAGAATGGAGCGAAACAGAATGACTTCAAGAGTGTATCAGTCTGTAGTGGAAGGAAGGCGGGGTAGGGGTCGGCCTAGGAAAGGTTGGAGGGAGGGGGTAAAGGAGGTTTTGTGTGCGAGGGGTTTGGACTTCCAGCAGGCATGCGTGAGCGTGTTTGATAGGAGTGAATGGAGACAAATGGTTTTTAATACTTGACGTGCTGTTGGAGTGTGAGCAAAGTAACATTTATGAAGGGGTTCAGGGAAACCGGCAGGCCGGACTTGAGTCCTGGAGATGGGAAGTACAGTGCCTGCACTCTGAAGGAGGGGTGTTAATGTTGCAGTTTAAAAACTGTAGTGTAAAGCACCCTTCTGGCAAGACAGTGATGGAGTGAAGATGGAAAGTTTCTTTCGGGCACCCTGCCTTGGTGGGAATCGGCCAGTGTGATAATAAAATAAATAATATTCTGTATGATTATTTTTTTTCCAGGTTCCTACCAGAAACTTATGGCAAAGAGGAAATATTGATTAATCAATTGGAAGAGGAACAGGAGAGTGCTGAAGGAACTTCTACTTCAAGTATAGAAGGTCCTAGTTACTTTGTATAAACTCAGTTACTCTCAGGTGACTAGTATACGTATATAATATTTGTAGATAGATATCAGTGAGCTCAGCTATTGTTGCATTGCTGTGATCTTAAAACAAATATGTAAATGAATTTTTGGCCCATTAATTTTTAGTTGTATGTTTGCATACAACATAGTATGTATTAATGAAATAAATTACAAAAATATAACTACATACAGTATTCAGTGCATTTTTAAGTGCAGTTAATGCAATATATTTAATAAACACTTGTGTTCATGTGTATGGGGATTGAACCATGGCTGCTGGGTCATGTATGTTAACTATTAATTGATCAGTGTGATGCTTCTGCCAACCACATGATTTTAGTTTTATTTAAATTTGAATTTGCATTTAGGATTGTAATACTTGACGTGCTGTTGGAGTGTGAGCAAAGTAACATTTATGAAGGGATTCAGGGAAACCGGCAGGCTGGACTTGAGTCCTGGAGATAGGAGGTACAGTGTCTACACTCTGAAGGAGGAGGATTAATGTTGCAGTTTTATAACTGTAGTGTAAAGCACCCCTCTGGCAAGACAGTGATGGAGTGAATGATGAAAGTTTTTTTTTTTTCCGGCCACCCTGCCTTGGTGGGAATTGGCCGATGTGTTAATAAATAAAAATAAATTTACGAATTAAAATATCCTTGACTGGTGGTGTACAGATGGCATGCAACCTTCAAGACCTTAGTGTAGTCCAGGGGCCTGTAAATATAATCAAACAACTAGTGCATTCCATTTGCCACTCTTGTTGCACATTTCCTTATACAGTATAATCACTGATTCTGGTATTTAGTTACCCTTGTCCTGGTCCCCCTACCCCATTTCAGCACTATCCATGCCATTACCTTTTACTATGTTGTATGTTGTGACCACGTCTCCTCCTGGCCTTTGTTTCTCTGTGAAAATTTAGTCTTGGTCTGTTCTCATAACTCAGGTCCTTTACCTCAGTGACTAGTGGTATGTGTATATCCTGCAAGACTCACTGTTGAGGTATCAAAGCCATTTTATGTTTGCTAATATTACA